ACAGCACTACAACGTGAGGGAAGGAAGTTTGCCTCAAATAACAATAGAAGCACGCAGCGTCGGCAGCAGAGATCAAACGATTTTATTTCTGTTGTAACTGGGAAAGGGGGGTTCCTTCATTGTCTCTTCTGGGATTGCTGTTCTAGATTCTAAAATCCATTCTCCCCTTTGTTTTCTCTCTTGGCCCTTTGAAATATTTAGCAAGAATCCCAGATGAACACACATTTGTGTATGTGTGGGTTTCTTTGAATGCGCAATCACAATGTCCCTTCCAGGCATCAATCATCTACTGTGCACTCAACATCTGGATGGTGGCAGTCTCTCCCTTAGGACACAACACTTCAGGTTTCTTGGCTCGGAGCTCATCCTGGGGGAATATTTTCCTCTGTTCACTCTTGGCTCCTCATTTTGTTTTACCACTAGAGGCCATACTACGGAATTCTTTAATAACTGCCTCACTCCATCTCATTTATCCTCCATTTATCTCTGTCCTTCGAAGACCAATGGTACCTTAGCACCAGTACTATTTATTTAACTGTGTTACCAGAAGAAGTTGGTAGTAGGACACATAGGATGAGGTAGACCTAGCAGTAAATCCTATATACTATATACATAAATTAAACAAATGTTAATGTTTTAGGGCTGAAAACCCCAAGGTCCTTTATAGAAAACTTAACAAAGACTATCTGCCTCAGCTTGAATGTTACCTGGTGACCTTGCCCCACAACAAGAAGGTGAGATCTCCATGAGGTAATTAGAAATATGACCCCATGTGCAGGCTGTGCAAAAGACTATGCAAAGATGTCCATTGCACAATTCAGCACACGGCAGCAGAGTATATACCAGCACCAACAACCTTCAACATTGGCTTGATTCGTATAGATCAGTTATTCTGAAACACTAGTTAGTGGGCCATAAGAAATAATCAGTTCTATGGTGGAAAGTATTACATTGAAACTTTCTTCAATTCCAATGAATATATCAGCGTTGTGTTCAACAAAATTTGGTTGTACGCCGTGAAATGTTTGTTAATGTAAAATATGTGCCGTGGCCCAAAAAAGGTTTGAAAACACATCGGTGCTGACTGTCCCTAGTCCCTAGGAGAGACTTGAAAATGTTTTTGAAGGCTCACTCAATCAACAAAACCTGTACCCCCCAACTGATAATGCCTAAGCAAAAACATTTTTTAGGCAACTATCAATACTGGCCAAGGTATTCAGACACAGACACATAATTTCCATAATTTGGCATTGTACCCAAAAGAGTTATTTCAAACAACTCCACGTTTTGTACCACATCTGACTTGTCTGTTCCAGGAAATTATAATCAGCTATCTAACAGTTATAATTACATAATTAATAACAGACCCCCATTCTTCTACTAGGAAGATATTCTTTCTATTAAAGTTTATTCCACATCCAAGGATTTTTAATATGCTGCTGCTGAAGTGCATGGCAGCTCATTGGATCCATTCATAGCCTGATTAGAGAAAATGTTCAGCATTTGTATCCCTTAGGGACTATCAAAGTATACCCTAAAACACAGCCAAGGTTCAATATGGCCCATTGAAGAGAGTGCTGCATCAGAAATGTATGCTCATGAATTCCTATAGTTCTCTAGGCTACACAGAAACCCTGTTGCAGGAATAACAGCATTATAACAGGTGAATGTCACACACACCCATGTAGACAGCATGTGTAAAGGGTGAGTTTCTGGTACAGCTTCATACCAACATTACCATAATGTCACTCTATTAGTTATTGCCACATGTAAACCAACACATACTTGGGTTACATTCTGTATGATCTCCAACAGGACTCCATTGAGTAAAATAAGTGGGGTCTTTTTTTTCCAGACATGACATGATACCAGAACTGTAACTTCACAGGCCCCAGAACGTCATTTAACCTCAACTCAACACAACCTTTAGAAATCTCTTGGCAATCTGGCACACCTTGTTAGTGCACACACACTCCATACGAGGCCTGTTGTATTAGTTATTCCACTGCATGTCTTGTTATCCACATAGATGAGAGGGGAGCAGAACAGCAGATGGTGAGGGAGAGAGGGAGACAGAAACACAAAATTCTCCTTCAGGAATGTGAGGATCACTTGAGCACACCTGCAGAAACCTAATCTGCCGAAAATTCACCAAATACTTCAGCATTCAGCCATTCAGCTCAGTGCTGTGAGTTGATAGAAGTGTTGGCACAAAGCCAGTCGCTAGTCAAATTTGAAAGTTGCACACGACTGTCAACACATTAAATCTTCCAAAGTTTTTTACATTTGAGTTGTAGGAACGAATGCTGGGGAATTTTATCAGTAACAGAGTAGGACTCAGAGTAAAGTTGGCCAAATGTTTTGGATGACGCATCGCAATGACTTAACATTTGAGATGGGGGCGCATAAAAGTACATAATTTACAAATACAACTCGACCCCAGTGTGGTTTATTTGTCTACTACTGTATGTACAATTGTTTTGGTTAAGAAAAAACACCTGAAAATATAATCAGGATTATCTTTCTTTTTTGTGGCAATTTCAGGATTGCATTACACAAATCAGACAAGTGTATTGATGTGTAAACTGACACAAATGGTGGGCAGTCCAGTGGTTGGCGACATAAAGTATGGCAACCCTGTCTGTCGTTACCTTATGTTTTTAAAATGTAAATGTATTTGATACATTGTAATGAAGCAGAAGGACAAGTAGACAACTTTGTACCAATGTTTGACAGGTCGGTTGGAAATCCCAATGTGTCAAATCAGACAGGTGGGCTGTGGTTTGCCCATAACTGGAATAGAGTGGTCTGCTGGCTGTGAAACCCCTATTATTAGCAAAGAAATTTAAAGAATTGACCTTCTTTATATTAACCGTACAGTTTGTTGTTTTTAAATGAAAGGGATTCTTAGTTTGTTTTTATAAAACCACATCCTGTTGTTACATGATGGTGGTCATGAATTCTTAATTTATCCAGTACAGGACTTTAGGTAGGCTGTGCTCTTGGCTGTATAATAGATTCGTAACAGTGTAACTGCATGTGAAGTGGAGAAGAAAAACCTTTAAAAGGTTTTCCTATTGCATCTGTTGGTTCTATATTTGTACCAGTGGCCTAGAAAAAAAAGCAACGAAAAAACAGTAGAGGAGACGCGCAAGACAGTCATGAGCCACAGATAATCCCGGCTACTGTATGTATGGTGCTTTTTAGATTTTTCCACCATTGTCCGCGTGACCCTTTTCTGTGTTTGCACCGTGGCCTGGTGGCCTGCTTCTCCGACCGACACAATGAAGACAGACGAGCTGCACTGAGATGTGCGCTCTGTGCTGTTTTGTCCAATTTTTCCTCTCCGAGGCGTTTGGCTGACTGTTCAACACCTGCATGGTCTACATGAAAAACGTGCTGGCTTCTTTACGCTCCTGGATAACGCTGAATTACAGTGCACAGGGGGATGAGGAAAAAAATAAATAAATAAAAATACACAGCTTGGCTGATCCAGTTACACATGTAATTGTATTTCTTCTGTTATGTACACTGACTGAGGTTGATTATAAATATTGCTATAACATAAAGATATATAATTTGAGCGCATGGGTAGAGAGTCCTGGACAAATCTACAGGTTAATCAATCACATTTAACTTTGACTACGATAATCAACCTGTAATGTAGGCTACATAATGAATTAATGTAAGTCATTGGCTTTGAGTAATGGATGGGGAATGTACTTCACACTCTAAGGAAGTTGCTGGGCACCAACTATAGCATATGATTCATGTGTTTGGCCTACTCCGAGCCCGTTGGGACTGACGACAGAGGGCCATTAGTTTTGTTGTCATTGCTAACTGCATCACACAGGAGACTTTGTGACAAAGGGAGAATATTGCTTTTTCAATTTCAATCTATTTTTGATATATATGAACTCGCCATATACAATGAGCTCATTGATTTCCACTCAGACCTTAAAATACCTGGCATGTAGGGACAAGTTGAAAACAGAAAGTATCAACAGGCTTTAATTTTCCCTTCACAGTGCGTTCATCTGTCCATCAGTGGCTCATTTTACCCACTCAATCTCATCACTTGTCAAAACATTTTGCTGACTGCAGTGTTGCAGGTAATACCCATTGTGGCGTGATGTGATTAATAATCGCAAGTAGACCTGAGGATTCCAGACAGGTCCGTCCTCATACTGTACGCACTGAAAATCAATGTGTGTAATAATGAAAACTTATTGCCACTCCCCGTGCATTTCTGTAAATGGCAAAAACTGACCAAGGATGAAACATACTGTATCAGTGATCCTTTATGACACTTGCAGAGATGCAACTGCTCACTCAGCATTTATAGAAAATAGACACAAATCATTGCAAAAGTACATTTTTTCGGTGTACAAAAGTTCGGTGTGACAAATATTACTTGTAAAAAAAAATCCCAATGAACAAAAAAAAAAAACATCTGAGAAAAGAAAGCAATAGTCTTGAGGAAATTAAAAAATTAAATTAAAAAAGCAGTGTTCCCTGACTGTCCTGCAATAGTGTTTTAGATGTTTAAAAAATACAGTAATTTGTGAAAAATGGGAAAGAAAAACTACAGAGTGCCTCCAAGGGCCTGTCTCGTTATTATTAGTTTTAGATGAAAAACACAAACCCAACCCAAGAGGCAGAACCAAGCAGCAGGCAGGCGTTCTCTGACATTTAAAGCACTGGTGGACTGGGAGTAGGAGAGCTGGAAAAGTATTAAGACCCTCCAAATCAGGATGGGGTAATATTTTTCCTCCTGTACATCACTAACTTACACCAGCAACTGACCTACAGGCAAAAAACCCTCTCAAAACTCGAGTTACGAAAGCTCAGTGCTCAATATTGACTTTCTGCCAATATGTAATAGGCTTTTACCCCTAACACTAATTTTAAGCTCATATTACATGTCTCCTGTTATGAAGTGTAAAATAATGCCACAATTACATTTGTCCAAAATAAGAAAACTGCTTTAACTTACCCACAAGATAATCCAGGCATTTTGTATGAGTTGTTCTAAGCTGAAGGAGGTGGAATGACCTACAGAGCTGCCTGAAGACCCAGCTCCTCTCCATAGCCACCTATAACAGGAACAGACAATAACGAGGTAAAAAACAAGTCTGGAGATTATAATGGAATTAAATAAAAAAAGTGTATGATTTCACTTTTAAGGGTTTTGGAGAGTTTTATTGAGGGGGGGAATTATGATAATGAGAATGTAGTCTTTAATAATAAAAATATAGTCATAAAATCACAAGAAATGTTTTTAGCTTTTAGAGTAAAAAAATTCAGTCATTGCCTTGAAAAATTCTGAGCATAAAGTCATTATTGTAAGATAATAAAGATAATATACAGTTAGGTAATATTCGAGTATTAGACATAATAGTACTTGACCACTACTACCCATGTCCTACTGTACAAAGGAAAATTATTACCTCTGTTTCTTTTTTCATATGGAATAGAATAACAGCTTCTTGTGCACTCTTAATTAACATGATGTTTGTAAAAATGTGACGCAGCTGTGTAAAAGACACTTCACGGTTCACAGTGCTGCACACACTGCCAACACTTCTCTCCTTTCAACTTCACAGTGCTGCACACACTGCCAACACTCTCCTTTCAACAGTAAGATTTGTCAACTAAAACCATAGAGTTACAATCTTACCCACGGAGTCTTACCCTTTTGCGCTTAGCTCTAAATACTAAATTGTCTGTTGTACAAAAGCTGCCTCAGAGACACTTCATATCTGACTTGCAGTTAGTAATTAAAGTAAATGTAAAAACACTTTCACTTTAAATACTGAGATTTCGAGGTCATATGCCAGGGATGTCTTGTGAAACACTTGTTAATTAAAAGGACTGAGAAGAATAATGAGATTAGAAGCCACATCTTTGACCTAACATTAAATTCTTCTCTTTCCAAGAAACAGACTCAAATGAGGTTAAACATCTTCCCAAACAGATACAAACAACATATTTGCACTCTGACTCATACAGTGGCTCCAGTTAATTCAGAGTGGACAATTAACCTGATCCCACAAGGACACACGTTAACTCCATGCAGAAAGACCATCAACCACCAGTGATAGAACTAGATTCTCTTACTGTAAGAACAGAGCACCCAACACCTTCCTACAGTGTGGCCCAGGACTTATTGGCTTGTGACCCCATTTTGACACAAATTTCTAGCGACACCAGGAACATTTTATGTGATTGCAACCGTCAATCAAGATGCTTGTAAAGTCAGACATTAGAATCCCAGCAGTTGTAACTCAGAAAGGAAAACAAACTTGAGCTGTTCAACTGAGTATGCGCTTGAACTCCTTTGCCGCAGGCAAGATCCTGTACCCACTCTTGAGTATACTTTCAATTCAACAAATTTGGATTGTTTAGACAGGACAAAAAAAAGTAAACTTATTACAAGAGTTAGATGTGTGAGAAAAAGATTTAATGAGACACTTAAAATAAACCTCACAGTATCAATCTCTCTGTGTTTATTTCGACAATAAGCTATGACACTAGTATCATATATCGTGATCACAAATTATACATATATGCTTCTAAAAAGCATATATATACAAAAAGCTGCATGTTTTGAGACCAGGGTATTTAATCAATTAGGTTAAATATCAAACCACAAAACAAGCAATCAGGAACTCAGGTAATTACAATATTTAGAACAAAACATTTGAATGTATTGATAAACACTGAATGTTTTCTCTACTCCAACACATTTGTTTTGTAGCAAGTTAAACAAGTATTTATCACTCCGTGCAGAGTTAGACTGCGTGTTGCTAGGCCATACACTGGACCATTCTTAGGTTTTGTCTGGGCCACAAGTAGCATGGGCTACTTGTGGGCTGTTATTTGAATAGGACAGCGTCATGTTTTTTTTACCAAGTGGCACTGAAGGTTGTCCTGTGCATTATAATGTTAAGAGCTTGGACTGGTTCTGGTCTGACTGTTGGCTTTTTAAAACGTGGCTTTGAGAGCTTGTTATAAGCCACCAGCTCTACAGTTACAACTGACACAGTCCAACACAGAATGCTGTGTCCCAACTCTGCTGCGAAACTGCAGGGAATTTTGTTGTGCCAAAAATGAGCGCGGCTAAAAATGAACAGCCTCTCATTTAATTTAAGAGCAGCTTCATGTAAGACTTGTTTCCTGCTTTTCTTGCTAAAGTTAATTTGGTGGGAAAAAAACCCAGCACACCAGGAAATCACTAGAGGGGAAAAGAAAGAAAACAAGAAAAATAAAGAAGGAAAATATAATCACGAAAAGAGAGTTCAGTGACCTGTTTGAATACATGTGTGGTGACTGGAGAGTTCAGTGACCTGTTTGAATACATCTGTGATGACTGATCCCAAATACTCATGACCAATAATGACCAATCACGATGAATCAAGATAAATCAATACATGCTAATTTAACAAAAAAAAAAAAAAACCTTTTGAAAAATTTGGAATCAGCAATCATCCAGAGTCCAAGAACGGATAATCCATATTACATTGATCCCTAAGGGGAAAATTAATAATCTGAAAAGCAGTTTTAAAGTAGACAATTGGACTCACCTCAAGTAAGCTGAAGACGTTTCGCCTCTCATCTAAGAGGTTTCATCAGATCTACTGTCCTGGTGGGGAGTTTCCAGGTATATATCCACCCCAAAGAGGGATGTGGCGTCAAGTGTGTGCTCAGGGCCCGTTAAGTGGTCATGTGAGTTGTTGGCCCTATGGTGGATCGTACCCCATCCCTGTCCTCTGGGCGGGGGTCGTTGAAGTTACCAACTCCAGTTACAGGACTTTAAGTTAGTAACTCCAACGACCCCACCCAGAGGACAGGACCTCTTGGATGAGAGGCGAAATGTCTTCAATTTACTTGAGGTGAGTCCAGTTGCCTACTTTAAAACTGCTTTTGAAATTAGTATGATGAGATGGATGACTGAGAATATCCACAAATATGGGACAAATTGTTTCAATTTTCAAACTTTTCAGTACATGAACGACTCCACTCTAGGTTCCACTGTATTTTGATCGGTAGATGGATTTTTTCCTCTTCACTTCTATAGCCTTTGTTTTCCGTGAAACATGATGGTAGACTGATCGGTAGATGGATTTTTTCCTCTTCCGTCTTTAAGAAACCCGGCCCATGATGGTAGAGTTTGGTAATAAAGGCCTTTCAAGATAATATTCTATTAAACAGCTGCACATACAAAGCCCTTTGGAGAATAATTATACCAGCAGCTGTGGCAATAACTGCTGACACTGAAAAAATTAAGAAAAATACTTGGACAACAATTGCAATAAAAGCAATGGCAGTTTTTGAGCAGTGTCGCAGACAGGAGAGCACAAACTAAATATTCAAGAATACTAAGATAAGATTTACAATTTTCCCTATTGCTTTAAATATTTTTTAATGCTATTATTCTTTACACAGGTATTTGTTTTTGCTTTTTTATTTTATGTGTCATACCTATACATATTAGGGGTCTGAAAATTTGATAGGAAATAAAATAAATGATAAAAAATAAGCATTTGCTTCGGTTAGCACAGACGTGATGCTCGAGTTGAAATTATGGTCACACAATGGCTTAAAACATGAAAGAGACAGAGAACGGTAAAATGAGAGAAAAGCAACCTTACAAAAATAGTGGCCACTAATGAAGCATGGAATGGACACTGACACATGTAAGATCATTTTAAGCCATCCTCATGTTTGATCTATAAACAATCTCAAATGCACACAGATAGGTCCGCTGCTTTAGACCGTACGAACCCTACTACAGTATTTAATGGAAATAAAGCTGCACTAAACATAAGCTGCACCAAACATAAGCTGCAGCTCCGCTGTTCCATTTTTTACACGTCGTGACAAGCAGCAACAAAAGATGAAATAATTTTTAAAATGTAAATGTTCGTTTATCAATGATTATATGTTTTGATTTTTCTATTGACAATATGATGAGTTATACTGCCTTCTTTTTACACACTAATATATTTTTTCTTCTTACTTAAAACAGTTCTAGGTTATTTGTAAATACTCATGTTATCTCATAAGAGCAGTTTATGTAAATCTAAGCCCAGGTGTTTTGTTTCTTCACTTTTTTAACACACACATTGTTTTAATCTGCCACTGACATTTGCATGTCTAAACCCAGTTACCAGTGCAATTATGACAACAAATACTAACTCTGACCTGGAACGCAACATTCATTAGTGATGATATTATTGAAGTGGAGCCACTAAGTTCGTGTAAACTGAACTGATGAGGCTGGCTTCAGCATCAGTGTGGCTAAGCCAAACATCATTGATTTCTCCTCTCCAGGTGGATTAAGAAACATGTACGCTTCCCTTAAGAGAGCTAGGAAGGTCTTCAGCTTAACACGGACAGAAATACCACATTGTTTGTATGTGTGCATCCAGGCACGTGTGTGAGAGAGAGAGAGAGAGAAAGAGAAAGAGTGAGGGATGGATGGACAGAGATAGATTGCTTGCTAGATGCCTGGCAGTGACATTTGGCTGTTTTCTATCTGCAGGCTGACATTTCTGCAGTCAAACAAACAAGGTCCAATCTGTCAATAGCGACAGCGCACCATGTTTCTCTTGATTTCTCCTTTAACTTTTCAAATTCTATTATTTCTTTTCCGGCTGTCTTTTATTATCTGATCTTGAAGGTTTTCGACTTTGCTGCATTTTCTTTCCTTTTCATTCAGACTTTTTTTGGCAATTTTATTTCTCTCTGATCTGAAGAAGTAGGCCAGTGCTTGTACATGGAATTTTATAATAACAAATTAATAAATTACAAAGATAAAAAAGAATAGCTTTTAAGGCTTTTAATTTTGTTTTCATTTATTTAGGTTCTAAATTTACCCATCATTGGATGCTTAAACCCAATTAATTTGTGCCATAGAGGGTACATTACCCAGTACAGTGAAATAGTAAAGTGCAGGAAAGTTCTACTTTGTCACTCTGTATTCTCCAACCTCTGTAATACTTTCTTATTACTGACATATCTTGTAAAGGCAACAACCTGTTGACACCAGTGATCTCCCACTGCAGACATATCTCACCAACATCTGTGCTGA